GCCCTGACTATAAATGTGTCGGAGTCATTCAATAGGTTATTGAAGTTGGCACGTGGATTGCCTGTCACTGCCATGGTCCGGATGACATTCAAACAGATATAGAGCTGCATCAGAGTTGATGGACATGGGTGCTGAATTTATGCCAATACCGATGAGAAGATTTGAGAAATACAGGAGGCGAGCACATTGGCATTCATATTTACAGTATGATCACGATCGAGGTGTTTTTGAAGTTCGCACCGCTATCCGCGGACATCGGGGGAATAATCTACACACCGTGAATGAAGCCAGCAAGTTGTGTTCATGTGGGAAATGGGCCATCTACCATATGTCGTGCACACATGCCATGAAGTGCTTTTAATAAGTTGGTTTAGGGGCAACCAACTATGTTGATAGGCAATACAGTGTTGCTACATACGTAAACACATATAGTGGGCAGTTGCAGCCATTGGGTGTTGAGCATTATTGGCCGCCGGAACCATTTAAAATGCTGTGTAACAAGGACTATTTGCACAAGCTGCAAGTGCAAAAGAGAACGCGTATACGGAACCAAATGGATGTTGGTGATACTGTTTATGCACGTAAATATGGCATATGCTCGCAAACAGGACACGACCATCGTAAATGTCCTTCAGCTGGTTTGGGTGACGGTGGTAATCCAGCTCCTAGTCAAGTTCGTTTAATGTACCCAACTATCAAGGATACACCTAGTGTTTTGTTTTTGTAATGTTTTTTGTAATAAGTGTTTGTACTTGTTTATGTTGCAAGATGTATCAAATAAAATTATGTTCCACATCCTTGTTACATCTTATTATCTAATATGACCTTTTGAATTGGGATGATGATATGATAGTTCCAACATTCAACTTGATGGTGTTAGTAAAGAAGACCAATATGAAGATTGAAATTTTATAACATAATACTTCTAGAGAAAAAAGCACAACAACCATAACTAAAGCAACATACATAAAAATAAAAGATAATAAAAAGATAAATCAAGACAAACACATCCTAGTACCAAGTAAAAGACAGATTAGTACAAACAGGATATCCGTCTCCCTTCACGTCCACATTGAAGATAGCACGCAGTGGTGAAACATCAACCAACGTAAATTTGACGACGAAACCACGACTGATAAAATTCTCCAACACAAAAAGTCTCCAGCCTACCTTGAACCTTCTTTAATCACCAACACTCATATTTACATACCACTCTTTTCCACGATGGTGAAGATACGCGTGTTCTAATGTTGGAGGAAGATGCTTGCAGATTTTTCTTGGAATATACTTTTAACAAAAAAACATTACTATTAAGTTACGGAAAATATTAAACTGAATAAAGATATACAATACTGATGTATATATATTTTTTTCTAAAGTTAAAGTGTAACAAACAAAAGTATTTTATGTTAAAGAAATAAGTTTAATGGATATAATAATTTACCAGATCGTTGTCGTCGACGCATGAATCAGTCATAACCACTTCAAATGTTGGAGGATTCTCTTCTTTATTATCACTACTAGTATAAGCATCACTGCTAGTTGAAGAGTAAGAAAGGGCTCGTTTGGTAGAGGAAGAGTCATCCATAGTTTAAGGTTTGAATTTGTGAGTGTGTTTTATGTTTTGAATATGTCACTATATATAGAGGGACACACATAACATAACACGGTTAAATATTACATTTTGTGTGAATATATATAGCGCGGTTGAATACTACATTTTGTGTGTTGTCTTATCGATATGAAAAGCTGACCTACTACGATAAAGCTGTTTCGTTTAAGAAAAAATCAATATGTATAGCGCGGTTAAATACTACGTTTTGTGTATTGTCTTGTCGGTCTGAAAAGTTGACCGACTGTGAAAAAGCTGTTTCGTTTCAGAAAAAGTCAATATGTATAGCGCGGTTAAATACTATGTTTGTGTGTTGTCTTGTCGGTCTAAAAAGCTTACCGACTGCGAAAAAGCTATTTCGTTTCAGAAAAAGACAATACGTATAACGGGGCTGAATACTACGTTTTGTGTGTTGTCTTATCGGTCTGAAAAGCTGATCGACTGCGAAAAAACTGTTTTATTTCGGAAAAAGTCAATATGTATAGCGCGGTTAAATACTTTATTTTTTGTGTTGTCTTGTCGGTCTGAAAAGCTGACCGAATGTGAAAAATCTGTTTCATTTCAGAAAAAATCAATTTGTATAGCGCGGTTAAATATTACGTTTTGTATGTTGTCTTGCCGGTCCGAAAAGCTGACCGACTGTGAAAAAGCTGTTTCGTTTCAGAAAAAGTCAACATGTATAGCGTGGTTAAATACTACGTCTTGTGTGAATATATATAGCGCGGTTAAGTACTACATTTTCTGCGTTGCCTTGCCTATAAATAACGGGCGCATTCTAGTTATTTTCTGCGCTTAACAATAACCAATAACAAATATTTCCATAAAAGCAAGGTTTTTTAAGCTTTAACAAATGTCTGAACTCCTTTATATACCGAGGTGCGAGTGCGGAAAACGTCTGAACCCCTATATGTATAGCGCAATTATATACAATGCTATACATATCCGTCAAATCAAATTAGCATAGCGTTGTTTATTCATCCGTTATACTTGTATAACGCGATTTTATACCGCGCTATACTTTAACGGCCAAAATACTGTTAAAATATAACGCAGTGTAAAACCTCGTTATGTATAGATATGTAATTTTTTTTACACTTAAAAATATATTTTGAGTCCAAATGAATCACATTTAGGTTCGGACCCATAATTTGCATAACAATGAGCAGTTTCTGCTACTTTATCTGTCAGTTGTCACGTGGGACATCGACTGAAAAGCCCTTAGACCAAACAGAATCTATCAAATAATTAGGATGGAGATCAGAGAGTATGTATTAGTAGCTACGAATCTAATTAAATTCTAAATAAAATAACTTTTAAAATCTTCAAGTGTGCATGAAATCAATGTCTCTGTCGGCATGCATTTTCCAACTAATTAGTTAATTAGCAAATATTAGGGACACCATCCATCATTTACCTCACTAAAAACCATCTTGCATATCTTTTACGAAACAATCTTTAATAGGAATTCGTATGCACTTTTGGATATTCAAACCATTCAATCTCAAACCATGCAGTCGTTACCTTTCTCCCTCTTTTTCGGATCAATGTATAGTTATCCACTGTGAAGAAGAGATTAGCAGATAATTCAATGCAACAGTTATAAAGCTGTCGGTTGCCATATGCTTCCAATAAAATATGAATGTCGGTTGTATATCGGGGGGTGGGGTGGGGG